GTTCTAGGCCGGCCTCCTTTGTTTTATATAGGGTTTAGGACTTAAAATCCCATGTTTTACACTTTAGCCCCTGAAATTTACGCTTCCCACCGCGGTTTCACCGCGATCGCGGTGGAACCGCGGCCAAACGCCCTCGCGGATTCTTCATTCTTCAGAAACTGCCTTCCACCGCGGTTCTGCCGCGGTTCTGCCGCGGTCGCGGCAAAACCTCGGTTTTTCACCCTGTTCCGTTTGGAATTTGGAAAAACCTAAAACATAAAAGTTTTAGCCCTTTGAGTTACCTTTCCAACCATATATTGTGGAGCCCAAATGGAGTTCTGAGCAAAAAGTTATGTCTATTTTACTAGACAGTGCGCAATATGCCTCCTCAAGCCTTCGTTCGTACTTAATTATCAAATTTGACCCCCGAACACGATCCCGGCTTAATTCCTTGAGATTTTACTCAGACTTCAAAGCTTCAAATCACTTAAATTCATTCCATAACATCTATATAGCTCGAAATCACACCTACAAGGCATAAAACACACAATTAGTGTAAAACACTAGCGATTAAAGCGCAAACTTAATTAAAGTGCAGTAAATTCGAGTGTAATAAGCGACTAAAATATGCAATTATAGCCTATCATCAAGCGGCAAGAGCGGTCGATGCAGCTTTTACTCGAATAGGTCGGGATCGAATCCACAGAGAGCTAGAAGTGGGAGTTGGTTTCCTATCCAAACTAGCAATGCGCAGTGCTCATAATTGCACTTCCAAACATAGTTGGTCTTTTGATTACTTCTAATATTATGCTAATAAGATGCTAAATTAAGCTAAGAGTGAAATACTTGAAAGGTTATCTAATTGGTTAAAGAGGCACTATGGAGGTGACTTTCTCCTAGGTGGATATTTGAAGGATTCTCAAGTCTAAGGCAAGATTGTTATGATGGGGATTACGATATAACCAATGCACGAAACTACTCACTCTATACATCTCGGTAGTTTGAGTGATTTTGCCCTAATTGACTTTCTCAAGATCAATTGGGTATTATAATTGAGCAAGCAATTGAGGTTCAAGTCGGGTATTACTATCTCTAGGTTTAACCCTTTAATTGGG